GCAACCTATAGAAAACACAATAAATCTTGCTATTTCATTTTCCTGCTCCTTTGTTCGCCCCTCTGTTGCTCATCTGACAAAATGGATATCAGTGTTGAGGGAGGAGCTGTAATGAGAGGTGGACGGCAGCATGCTGAGGGCCAGGTCTCAGCGCCCGGTTTATGAGAGGCTGCGGGAAGCAATAATACATACACGATCTTAATGTATGGGTGTGCAGATGGGGCTGAGCTGTCAGTTGATAGATGAGAAGGGTTAAGAGTACCCCCTGCTGCAGAGTGTGTATGTGCAGGTTTCTGCATTTACACACAGGCCATACAGCAAATAAATGGAGTTGTCTGCCCCTTTGACTGGCAGTTACACATGGAGGGATTGTGCTGCTGGATAAAGCTGTAACCCTAGGCAGATAAAGACCCCGGGTATTAGTTGATTAATGATCAAAAAGGCCGCCTTTCATGATTTGACCGTGTGAGGTGAAGGATTGGGAAAATGTGGGGAAAAAAGCAGGAAACCAAGATAGAGCACTTGCTGGAAAAGCTTGCCAGATTGAGCTTGCTAAGCGAGAACACATGATGGGTTAAGATTTACAGCGAGCCAGGGACAGTATTTTGTTTCGGGCAATCGGTCGTGAGGCATGTATCAAGAATTACAAGTGAGGGAAATGAGTTATACTACCCCTGTCTTTGTACTAATCAGAACATATCGTCCCGGGCTCAAAATAGGGCTCGGCTTAAGTAAATGTAATTTAAGAAGTGTATTTTCTCCAGCCCTAGAAGCCCCTTGATAAACTCTTCAAAGCAGATCCACATCAGCGGAGACAGAGGAGACTAAGCTATAACTGAGAGTTGCGTCACTGATAACTGATTTAATGAAAGACTTTGGAAAGTGGACCTTTTTTCTCTGCCTTTGATTGCGCTTGCTCTCCGTCTATGTATATCTGTCTCTCCCTTGTTGTCTCAGTGCTTCTCTTTCTCCTCTATCTAGGCATTAAAGGAGGATTTAGACAGCTCTGCTGTTATTTCTGTAGCACAATGGATCACCCGGTGTAATGTAACCAAACCCTTTTCCTTTTGCTTTTAACTGGCCCCTCCCTCCCTATTGCATACACCCCTCGGCTCTCTGTCTTTCTTTCTCTCACGCACATACACCCTTTTCCTCCATCTCTAGCTCAGATTCTGAAGAATTAGACATTATAAATGGGGCCAATGGCAGTATTGGACACTCCCATCAAGGGGTCTAGTGACTGCTGTTTACTCTAGGCCAGGGACATTAGCATCTGATAAATCTACCTCACTCTGCCCCTCTCTGCTTCTCAGGTTCTGCATGTTCTAGTCCGACTGTATCACAGATGCCGCTTCCAGATCACAACCCCAGCACCAGTGCATCGCTGCGTGTCTGTGTGTGTGATATCGCTGACATTAGGCATGTAATGACCTAGCCTATCTGTGGTGTAACAGCACAAGGGTAGGGCAGTGTCAGGTACCTTGGGTGTATGCAATAATAGCAGTAGCAGGGACAACATTTCACAACAGAGGCTTCATCTACTGCAGGTTTTCAAGGCAAATTATCCTTATTTTGAGAGTTCCTATTGAGAGTGTTTGTCAAATTAAAACAGAGAACCTTAAATGCTTGTCAGTGAGAGAGAATGAGATAAAAATGCACACCAGGGACAACCGGCACTTAGTGTACACATTTAGCTAAATTCATGTTCTTTCCAAAACACTATCATGAAATAACAATAATTGATCTGTGTGCTGTAATTGTTATCCTGGGCGAGAGGAGGGGCCGGGCCACAGCAAGGCATTTACAGTAATTTTCTCATTTATGATGCACATCTATTGCCTATGATTAAATTTGAATGAACAGCAAGCTTCAAATCAAATTCACAAAGAAACACACTGAACAAAGGCCCAATTTCAGCAAATGTCTACATGGACTGATCAGCTGGGACAGATCCTCTCTTCAAAGCAGCCCCCCCCCCAGCCATAACCTCATCACACA